GTATGATCCACCACCAATAACATGTCAGAGAGAAATGCATTTTTTTTTTCCGTTTAGGGTATAATCAGTTCCTCCAAAGAATGAATTTAAACCCACCATATTCATCAGGGTTCTCTAAACAGAAACAGTAGGGTGTGTACCTAAATCCACACGGAGATGCGGTTCCAGGGATTGGCTTATGTGCTGGTGGGGGCTGGTGAATCTGTCTGCAAGGCAGCCCAACCAGGATGAGGGCCCAGGAGTGTGCTCCCACCGCACCGGGAGGCTGAGTGGTCTCTTCCTCCAGAGATTTAAATCTTGTAATGATTTTAGCTGATCGCATGATCCGTTTTATCCAAAAGCCACCAGATCAAATGCTAGTTACATCTGAAAAAGATGTTCACTGTGATATTGACACTGGGGTTTGACCAAAAATTGGGCACAGTGTTCTACTTGATAGAAACCGCTTCCACAACAACCAGCAGTCAACATCCTTAGAATGATCTATTATTGATCCCCGCTTCATAGGGTAAGATTCGGTTGATGACCTTCTGGATTCTGTGTTTTGTTTCTGCTTGAAATGGCCAATATTTGACTCTTTTTTCATCTGCAAAGTGGTACTTTCATGGTGCTGACTGTATTATCTGGGTGTTCAGTAACGGCTTCCTCACTTGGAAACATTTCTGTATGAAGCAGATTTCTTTTGAACATTTTTAGGATTTAGTAAAAGTGATGCTCTTTTCCTCACAAGATGTTTGTTGAATATGTGTTGAGGAAAGGGGACAGCCAAACTCAAGCCGTCTAATGCCAGACTGAACTTTTCTTAGTGGTAAACCATCAGTGTGGACTTTTAACACTAACGAAAAATTCTCCTAGCCCTACCATGTCTATGATGCAACAAGTAAAATTCATTTCTAATTAATTTCCCCTTGGAATCACCATAGTTTTTCTTTACTTCTCTGCAAGTAGAAGAGTTAAGCTTTAAAATCTACCACAGTGACGGCTGTGTCAGGCTCAAGAAAGCAGCCTGGAGCTTAATTTCTGAATCTTGTATATGGTTGGCAGGGGCCCAAGTATCTGAAATAGCACCCCTTCTCGGGCTGCACGCTATTAGGAAGCTCGACTCAGAAGCAGGGCCAAGTCTAGAACCCAAGCATTTAGAGATGGAATTCAGGTGTCCCAAATGGTACCTGAAACATTGGGGCAAACACTTGTCATCTGAGGGGAATTTGTTTTTCTCAATGAAAAAATGACAGAGTTTCTTCCATCTGCTAATGCCCACTGTAGCCAGGACTGGGCCATGCCAAAGCCAGAAGCAAGAAACTACATTTGATTTGCCAGATATTTGGGCTATCACCTGTTCCCTTGCAGGCACATAAACAGGAAACTGGATTGGACATAGAAGTGGGCTCTACCCAAGGGGAATTTTTAAAAGGACAATTGATAATACTGAATGTTCAATGCCAATTTTCTCTCACTCCAACAAGAGGTATTATAATAGTCTTTTTTTTTTTTTTGGTTTAACATCTTATCTTTTGACTTAAAAAAAATCTATTCTTTTAAGGTGTAAATATGTTAAAAAATGAAATATCCCTAGAATTCTACAATTGAGCAGAAGTACTGTCCTACAGTCAGCTATTAGCATTTAACATTTATCAAATGTAAAAATGTTTTTAACAAGGAAAATATTTGTAATTAGAAGTGAATAAAAATGTTATAAATAAACAGAAAAAATGTCATCTAAAATTTCAGAAGATTTGTGTTATCTAAAGCCATTCTATACTTTTATTTATATTTTTTGTGAAATTCACATATTTTTCTTACAGCAAACATAACACGTTAGGCAACAAGAAGCTGCAGTACTATTATTGTTTAATTAGCAGCAAATGAATATTGTAAATCTGAATATCTGGACAATAAATAGCCTGCTTCTTTGGATGTGAATGTTTAAAATGTAGTTCTCACTGCAGCTTCATGATGTGGTTGCTATTTTACAGAGCTTATACACACACACAAAAATATGATCTTTGTCTATATTTTATACAAATACAACAGTAGTTTGTGAATACATTTTAAGTACATGATATACATGATAAGCCACTTGATTTCCCAATATCACAGAATAGCAATTTTTAAATGCAATAAAAATATACAAAAATTCAGCCTGGAATGCAGATTTTTTTTTCTTTTCTATTTTGACTCAAAACTTTACCATTAGAACATTTTTAGAGTACTAGTTCAAACACTTTTGCAATAACTAAAAATACAATTTCAGCAGTCCAGCTTATGTTCAGGTATGATGCAATCCATCTCCTACTGAATTCCCAAGTCTGTTAAATCCAAAAGCTGTTAGTAACTTACAGCATATTCTTCACTCCACACGCTATTGTAAAGCCCACTTTCAACTCTGAGTTATAGTCATCTTGTGGACAAAAGCTGGGTTTGTTCTGGTAACATTTGCACGTCCAAGATCTCCTTTTGCAAGTGCACACAAATACATTGTGGTGGTGTAAAAAGTTTGTTAATGACAAATGAAGTCACAGTATAAAAATATATTGTACACCTTTACATCTAATGTAGTCCTTTTTTTCTATGGATAAAAAAATACAACTGAATGAGACAGAGAAGTCTGTAGCACCATGGAGAGTTGTATCCCAAGTTACATTAGCAGCATGATCCAATGTAATATTGAAGGAGTGTTTCTGAGAAGATAAACATTCATTCTGGTTCATCTGTACCACGGAAGTTTATAAAATTAAGTGTTTTACACAATAGCAATAGTTCTGTGTCACTGTTCAAGCTAGATAACTTAATTAAAAACCACTGCCTTCCATCCTCAGAGCGTTGATGATGCTGCAGAAGTGCCTAACAGTGACCTACGCATACCTTTACCGATGCTGGTAACCTTATGTTGTTTTGTAAGATCCCGAAGGAGTTCTCTATGGGGTTTTTGCACAAAACTACACAAAACAACAAACGTAGGGCTAAATCATCAGAACTGACCATCTGTGCTGTGGCCATGGCTATTGACACAGTGTGAGCAAAGCAAGACACATTCAACGTAGGCGCTCATCTGTCAGAACGGTCTGCCTTGCTAACAACACACACTCAATGCTTAAAAGAGCTCCTCCAACGTCACATGGATCTCAGTAGGCTAGAAGCAACTTGGGTGAACTGGTATTTTCTCTTAACTTATGTACTGGGAAGACAGTGTGCTTTGAGACACGTAAACCTTGTAAAAAAATAAAACCATTGTAAAACCTTATGAAAAGACACACATTGATTCTGTGCAATACAGCAAATTGATAAGAAAACACTGTAAAAATGTACCTGTTTAAAATACCATCTACCATTTTTTGTACACAAAGCAATATATATCAAAGGTCTACATATATCTCATCTAATGGCACTTGAAACAAATTATAATAAGTCTCAAAATAAAAGGCATAACCTATAAGAACGTTATCTGTAAAGATTTAGATTCATTTTGAAAGTGCTATATCTTGTAATATGTGTAGTATAGAGGTTGACCAAGCTCTATTTTTTTAAAAAAATATTGGCCTATAATAAGTGTATTGCTCACTAGATGCATGATCCTGAAAATATGTTCTCTATAACATTCATTATTAGCTTAATAAAGCAATCAGCTCTGGCTCATGTTTCAGTCAGTATATGGTTTTTAAAAACCGCTACTGTCCAAATTAACACAATATATCGCTATATTCCACCAATGACTAAGAAAAATAAAGCACAAGCAACAAACAGGTAAAAAATACACAGCTTGAAAAGAAGCACTAAATGAAATAAAAAAGATGCACCAAGAGTGATGCATGATCAGCTAGCAAAACTGATGAACTTGCTAGTTGCTCTAACAGTGACCGACAACTACAGACATTACTAGTACACATCAATGGATAATATTGCTTACAGTGCCACGAGCCTTCCACACCCACACTGCCGTGTTTGCTGACTTCATTTGTACACACATGTGGAAGTCAAACTGAATGAGGTTCAATATCTTGTCCGAGGTCCAAATTCTAAACTATTCTTATTTAATGTTAATCCCTTTTTTTTTTCACCAAGCTAAGGCACTACCCAAAATATCAAGGATGATGATTCTGGCCACTGGAGATTGAAAACAGCATTGGCAGCAACTATTTTTAATCTCATCTAGTTGACATTAAAAAAAAAAAAACAGAAATTTTTTTCCTCCTAGAGGGAGAAAAAAAGAGCCAATTCTGTCTCATCCTTGTTAGAACATTGTGCAATTAAAATAAATGAGTACGTCTCATCTTTAATAGAAATTCTCTCAAAAAGGATTTAGTGACCACTATGGTCAATTTTAAAAACAAATTAGCTGAATTCCCTCTTACTTTGAAGTGTTATTTCAAGTCTAAGGGGGCAGAAACAGGCAAAGAGGTGAACATGTGAAAATTAAGACTCCATAACTTTAACACTGTGCCCTGGCAGATGTGCCTCCACATATGTGAATTCCTTACAGGGCGAGAATTAGGTTGACACACACACATATTTATGTGTGTATGACATGTGACATCATTCCCCATTTTCAAAACGCTTTATTTAATAAATCCCGGGTCTCCCTTTTATTATATTAACAGTGAAATACAGCCTATGAAGGCCAATGTCCTAGTTCATTAATTTGACTTCTTCTTAAGCACATTTTAGGCTAAATAGTATTTCCACACTTGGGATTTGTGATTTCTATTTAAAAATAGATTTTCTATTTACTTGTGCTCTGTCACCAAATTTCTTTTTATTTCTTTTTTTAATGGTGATTAAAGCAATATTGAACACTAATCATTCAACTAGAGATTTCAGTAAGCAATCTGTTTCATAGAAACGAAAGGAAACAGGAAGCAGAGCGCAAAGCCTACTTTCAGAGCAAACAGTCTCCTAACCAAAAGCTTAGGAGCAGCTTGAAAATTAAAAAAAAAATGTATTTCCTTATTAACATATATAATTTTAATGCCTTTGGAACACACTTTTTTTTAATAAAATGTAATTTTCCATAATAAAATTTAAATACATAAGTATAAAAACTACTGCTCCTAGGATTAAAAGACAGGAGCATGATAAAATATCAGGAGCCAAAGCTCCCTCAGAGAGCAACTTTGATTCTATGAAGTGCGATAAATGTATGTGTGTGTATTATATATAGAGAAACCCATGTACATTATTACAATTTACATTCTGCACAAATTATACTACTCCCAAGTATTTTAAATAATGTATTATATTCAGTAATCTGCACTCATTTTTAGAAATTCTTGGTAAACATTTTTTTTTTCAACATGCAGTGATAACTGGCCCCAGGAAAGAAAAGGGGAAGGGACTCCCACGCTGGGCCAATGAGTGCTCAGAAATAGTTTCTTTCTTTCTTTTTTTTTTTTTTTAAAGAAGAGATACATACTCTTCATAAACTTCCCTCTTCCCCCTGCCCCAACAAGATGGGGTCTTCAAATAAGGTGTTAACAAGTGCTTAATATACATTTCTTAGGTTGATGTCCCAATGATCCTTAGAAAAAATGCACTAACTGGACCTTCAAGCCTGTGGTGGCTATGTAACTTGAGGAAAGCCCATTGTAACGGGTTCATTCAGTGAATACAATGCTCTTGATTGCTATTTTCACATTAATGAACACAGTGTTTAGTTACCTTACTGTGTCCTCTACAAACTCAACTTACTTGCTATACTCCTCTCATTTCCTGGAGATGCATAAAGTGGGGCTTACTGTGTATATGTGTGTGTGTGTGTGTGTGTGTGTGTGTGTGTATTTTTTAGGTGACTAAAACGCTTATTTTAGTCACTTAAAACTTTGTGGTAATTCCTCAAATGGTTTTCCATCACTGTGTTAAACTTCAAATTCTGCATCTGAAAACAGCAAAGGATTCACACTGAATGAAGATGATACTGTGGGGAACTAGGCCATCACTTTTGTTTTCTGTTTTTGTCTCTTATGAGAAAGGAAAATGTCATAAAAATTCCACAAGAATTGATGTAACCGCTATGCTTTGACTTCACCCCTCAAATAGTCCAAGCTTTCATCCTTGTGGTAGAGGGTGTGATCCCGAGACAACTTCTAGGGTTTGACTGGGGGCTTCATGGCTGCCTCCCTCCTCAGGCACCTCTCACACCATACAGGCTGAGTCAGCTCTGGGATTCACACACCTACCGTCCCAAGCACCATGATGGCCCTAGATTCCCTACTGACAGAACCATCAATCTGAGTAAGACTGCCTGTGCACCTGATCCAACCTTCGGCTGCAAAAGCTGGAAAAGATGAAAAGAGATCTACGTATACACTGATTGTGATGCGATACAATATTAATTTTACTAAATGGAAAGATAGTAAGCTAAGGTTGAAAATGACAAAATATCCTGTGTACTCTAAGTTAGGGCCAACTACTACGTAACATGGAAAGTCATGTTACCTTACTAGGAGTCTCTTTTTTGCTATAAATACTGGTGCTTTGTATTTAGGTTTTGTTTTCCTTATATGCTTATAATAAAGACAGTAAATATTTTAACCAGACAATAGCAAGGCTTCAAAATATACTGATCTGAGATTATGGTGTTATTGCCCCAAACTGGATTCTTCATTCACCTGAAACACTTGATTAGGAATCCATTCAAAGGCTAGTAAAAATTATTTAACTCTTGAGTTATTCACATAGATTTTATAAAATTTACATTCTAATGCAAAAAATATAAGAAGCCAAATGTGAAAAGGTAGAGCCATTGTTATTGCGAAAAACAAGGAAATTTTAAGATCTGAAAGTAATTTCAACATGGGATCTGCAAAACTTTTTAGTAATAATGGCTTTCCTACATGAAATAAAATCCATAAAATATGACAATTGGCAGTGAATCAGGACAAAAAAAACCCAGGTAAACATAACTGAACACAAATGGTTCCAAAGCTCATTTAAAAAGCTAGTTTCTACCTTATACTGGCTTAATGAAAACTGGTATTATACAAAAGCAGAAACTTTTATACTGTCTTAAAAGTAGGCACTAAAAAAAAACTCCTCTAAGGCAAGGGCTACACATCCATAATAACCCCCCCACCGGGGGATCCTACTGAAAAGCTTGGTGGAAACGTGGCAGGGTGGTGCTTGTGCTTAAGCTACTGGTGAAAGCTGCAGAGAGCGAGTGCAGGGACCCAAGGCCTAGAGTGTTTGCAGGATCCTGCAGATCCTGTGTTTGTGGGGGGAGCTGGGAGACAGAAGAATGTGTTTCGTCTTGGGAATAGCTCATTCCAAGGCTCCCCACAGATATAGGGTTATACGGAGGACCGTTTAATGGTATGAAATTAAACAACTGAGAAAAATCCAAGGCTGGTGTGTTGAGGGAGTCGCTGATGGAGATAGAGCTTTTGGACAGGGCGAGGTCCCCTGCACCATCTTCGAGGGACCCGCTTTGAGGCTCCAAGGCTAGCTTGGAAGAGGATGACGCTTGTGAATCCTGGGATGAAGAGGGTGCCCCACCTTGTAGCTCCATCAGGTAACTCTCAATTTCCCCCTTTAATGGCTGTTCTTTTTCAGGAATCGAAATTGCGTATGAGGTAGAACTGAATGGATATTTGAAAGAAAGGTGGTGAGAGGGATGAACAGCATCCATATCTATGGGGCATGTCATTCCCAAAGGCAAAGTTGTGATCATTTGGTGGGCAGATCCCGAGTTCTGCATGGACTGAAATGGAGTGTTGTAGAGGTTTAACTGCAGAGTGTTGGTGAATGGCTTGGAAAGCAGTTCACTGGAAGGCAAGGACATCACCGGCAGGAGCTCATCTTTTATAGGCACAGACACGTTGCAGGTAAATGGATCCAGGAAATCCACTGGTTCCGTTTTCACCTTCAGAAGCTCTTGATTGTGACTCTTCTTCATATGTCGAGTTAGGTGATCCTTTCGGCCAAATCTCTGTGCACAGTACTGACAGAGGAAGTCCTTTCTTCCCGTGTGCACCACCATGTGTCTGCGGACATCCTTGCGGGTGTAGAAGCGGCGATCGCAGTGCTCGCACTGGTGCTTTTTCTCTTTCACCCCACCGGATGACTTGCCTGCATGGGATTTAAGGTGCTCCAGAAGCACTCCTGTGCTTTCGAAAGTCTGCAAACACACCTTACAGGTGAGATCCCCGCTGGTGGCGGCATGCAAGGCCAAGTGACGTTTGAACCCAAGCTTGGTGTTGTAGTTCTTGCCACACTCTTCACACTTAAATGTCTCTTTGTTAGGGTCATGTGTGTGGAGGTGATTCTTCAGATGGTCTTTCCGGTGAAACATTTTCTCACAATAATTACACTTGTGGGTTTTCTCAGGAGAATGAGTAGCCATGTGCCTTTAAACACAGATATAAGTGTGTAAGTAATTATTACCACAAAAGTGGCATGTATTCATTTTTCACAAGGGAAGTTAAACTACTAGGCTAACATAGAATTACCTTAACAAATTAATAGGTACTGCAAGGATAGTTAATACACCTAAATACTGCAAAACTTGAGCCATTTAAGTTGCCACTTAGTTTTTGCTGGATTTTTAGCTGATGTTACAAATGCAAATGAGCAAGACTAAACATACTCACGTAAATGTCCAAACCTTTTCTGGTCCTAATTTCAATACATGGAAATTCTACTCTTAGTTAAGCATTTTACTTAAAAAAAATCCAAAGACACTAACACACAAAATTATGTGATTCAGAATATTAATAACTAGCCAATGTCTAACATACCCAACATTTCTTCTTTGCAAATTAGCTGAAAAATGTGTATACAAATACATACGTTTACAGTGGCTTCAAATGGCCAACATAAGAGAAAATATAATCTGAAAGACAAATAGAGTTTAATACCTTTGTAATTTGTATTTAGAAACAAAGGCCTTGGTGCAGTCTTGTTGTATGCACTTGTAGGGCCTCTCTCCTGTGTGAGAGTAGGAGTGAACCTTTAATTTCTCAACACTGTTAAAGGCCTTGTCACACAGTTGGCAAGGAAAGTTTTTTCTTGGTTTGGTTTCACCACGCTTACGTTTCCCTGATGGGACTTTCTGGGTATCTCTTACTTCTGACAAATCACCAGGAATGACAGTGGCCATCGCAGCCTAAACCAGGCCTTCTTGTTGGACACTTGGGAACTGCCCAACTCCACTAAATGATATAGCTTTAGGTGGCTTCTCAAGTTTCATGTGGTCGTAAAAGAAAGCAAAAGGGGACTGGAAAAAAAAATAAGAAACAACTAGTTTGTAACTAAACTCAATTTTTAAAAGTTTTATTTGCTATGTGATGCTTTTGAATTAAAAAAAAAAAAGAAACCATAAAATGGATTCAGCTGGTCTGATGTTGTAATATCTGTAGGTTTCTTTATAATTGTCCAAATACATATAAATGCATTGCTCAGAATGAACAGTTCATACATACCAGAAAATTCCACCTGACAAATGTTGTACTTAGGCATAGCAGTAGTGATTTCAGGAACTTTCAGGATGCACCAAAACACGACTCTGGAAGGAGCACTATTAACCCTCACCAGTCAGAAGGGACAAGAGAGCATACATCTGATACACCTGACTAAAAACACACATGGTTTCAGCAGACACTTTCAGTTGGCATGTCAGCTTTAGTCACTCTCTGGCCCACTCTCATGGGGCAAAACAAAACAAGCAATGCAACACCCTTTCAGGTGCCTGTGGACTACTGAGCCCATGTAAGTCCTCAATGCACTGGCACCAGAGGCTCTGGTCAGCGTGAATGTGTACTCTCTAGTTGTGTGTTCAAACCCTAAGGGATCTCTGAGTCAACAGGACAAACAATTCTCTTTTCCATCTTGTAAAATGATTATGTTCAATGAGAGCACTGGGGTCAGTTGAGAAGCTGGAGTCACTGGGCCTTGCCAATAGCCAGGGATGGGGATGGTCAACCTGGGACATCCCAACTTGCTTGGACTTCTGACTTAATGCATAACACCTGTACAAGAATACAGGCTACAGAGATGATTTGGGCTGGCAGAGAGGTATGTTTGAGTTTTAATTTATTATTGGTGTTTTGAGAAAGAGTGAAACATACAGATTGTACAGGAAAGAGTATATCAATTCAAGTCAGAAAATTCTAAGTCTTTGAAAAAAAACAGAGGTGAGAAAGTATTATAAACTTTCCTCACAGTAAGCAAAATCAGCCTCCCAAATGTTGAACTGATGCAAGTGTTAAATGATTCCTTACCATTTGTGAATTCTATTATAATGAATTATTTTTAAGAGACCATAGAAATCATAACACCTGTAACCTAATTTTCATTTGATTCACTTTACAGTGACTTGTTGACAGTCATGACATCAACAGATAAAAAGTGTGTTTCCAAGCCTTACATACCCTTCAATACAACACTTCAAACTGTCCATAGTGACTATAAAATGAATCAGATTAAGATACAAATGGTGAAACTCCATTTCATTATGACACAAAGGAACCCAATTTAAAAAGGAATTAGAAATAATGCTCTTCCTTTTATGGAATTACATTAAACTGAAAGAAACTTTGTTTTTAAACCCCAGTGAAGATGGCAGAGTATACCTCATGACTATGCTTTAAATTGTATGCATATTTTATGTGTTCTTTCTATTGGTAACAGATTTTTAATTTTAAAGTGCTTTAAAAAATTCAGAGGTTAAAAATGTGTTAGGATGAAATTGGTACAAGTCAGTATAATTTGGAAATACTCTATGATTTTCTTAATAATATTCCTGACTTCTCACTATTCTATTGTTAAAAGTTTAGTATTTGTGCTTCTGAAGTGAGCACAGTTTTTCGATTCTGAACATTGGTTCATTCAATATGTTTGCCAATCTTTGATCACATTTCTCATTACTTCCTTAGGATAAAGGAGGAAGGGACACAATTTACTTAAAATTGTGTCTATGAAAGATAGTGAATCTGTTCTCTCTGATCGATTTCACACTCACAGTTGCTGGTAACCCTGTTGTAGCAATTATCATGTATTTGCTATGACCCTGACAATCTAACGTGCTAATAAATTCTTTAACTTAGATCTGATTTTTTTTAAAAGTGAAACATAAATGTGACTGATTGTATTCAGCTGCCATTCAAATTGGATTTTTCATCTTATTATGTTTTTAAGAAATGAAAACAACTTCTTTATCATTTGTGTCTTGGCATGCTCAGCCTGCTACACTGACTTTCACAGATTCCAGCTATATATACTTCTGCGTAAAACTTGAAATACTCTCTCCTTTGCAAAATTAACTGTATTTTAAAATAAGCTTTAGTGTATGCTCAAAATGCAGACTGTCTCTAAACAGGCAAAATACAGCAATCATCTATACATTTGCTCAAGTTAGTAGGCTTCCATGGCCTTCCTTCTTTATCATGTAGACACAGGTAAGGTCCTGAGCACTGTCCAAATGATCTAAAAGGATCCTTTACAGTTTAAATTGGACAGGAACACAATATGACTGTCTTCACCCATGCTAACACAGTGTGTGCCCTCTGGTTTTAGATTCTCTGACTCTCTAGGACTTGTTCCTATCCTGCCGCAGTCTCACTCAAAACACAACTCCTTGGTTTCCCTCAGCCAGCTACTCTGTTGTAATTGGTTGACAGTCATGACCTTTCAATATATGATATAATATGATGTTTTTATGCATCTATCAGAACACTCTGAGAAACAAGCTGATTGTTTTCTAACTGTATAATCAAAAAGGAATATAAAGAACCTCAAACCCTTGCATATAACTGACATCTGAAAATATTTCAAAGACTGGTCATATCTGTCATTTTGTTACAAGATTCAACTATACTGGGCAGAGAATTTCAGTTGAAAAATACAACTTCAAAGTTATTTTAGAAAGCGTTATTGGCACACCATAAGGTAATATCTAAATATTTTGGTTATATTAAAATTGGTGATACCCAATCTGAAGTAACAAATGCTTTTTTTTTTGCGTGTGTGTGTACATACTGAGCAATGAAGAATTGCACTGATTTCAAATATTACAGTTCTCTAAGACCAGCTGAAATTTTTTCATGGCTGATAATAATTTTTCATCTCAATACATTATAAAACTTAAATTAGTTATCATAGGTGCATTTAACACTATAAGATACATATGTAGTTCTGAACTCAACATTTATATAATCAAATACCATATTTGTAATACACATACCAATCAAATACTTTGAAAATGCATGCATGAAATGATAGTTATTTTTGTTCAATGCATACCTGACTGCAGATGGAAAAAGTCTCAGATTTTGATCTTAGCCAGTCCCATTAACTCCTCGTGGAAGAGAGTGGAATCCAAACCTTCCCATTTTGGCCAATCTATGTGGGAGGGGAAAAAAGAGAATAGACTATACTCTAAATGGAACCAGTGCACAAATGACGGAAAATAAAAGGCAAGAGAATGCAATTTCATGGCACATGCTTACATTCCATACTCTGCTGATGAGTCATGCATTTTTCTCTATTTGCATATCTTATTAGTTCTAAGCACATTTACATGACCAAATAAATGCAGAAATAAAACATAAAACAGTATTACCTAGATAAACGCCAATTTGTGATGCTGAATGACTCCCCACGTTTCCCAAGTTCCACTTAATGTTTTACCAAACTTAACTTCCATATGGAGAGAAATGGATAGTAGGGCTACTGAAGGTAACCAAACTGAACAAAAATTCATTAAGTGTAATAATATTACGGGAGAGACAAACTCAGTTCTGTCTTGGAGAGCGCATCTGGAACCACACCAAAGAACAGACTCCTGATGAAAGCACTCCCGCCCACGCTGTGCACACTTGTGCAACAGGGGCTTCTCGGAGCTGCACTCTGGTTACCTGCAACACCTGCCAATTTCTTTTTCATAATGCTGTAAGAATTGCCGAAATGTAGCAACAGCTTTGTGCTCTTTAGATTACGGAAACATGCAAGGGAGACCAAGTGCAGGTTGTACACAAGAGACAAAAAGGTGTTAGGAAGAAGGATCACTTGCTTTAGGAAGTTGCCATTGCCAAGTATTAAAGTAGCTTAAAAAAAAACCTTCTAGTAGCATGATTTTTAGTGGACTGAGAAGACTTCTAGAAAAAGATCAGTTAATAATTTTTGGTTACACAAATAAATGTGAAAATAATTGTGGTCACAAGTCAGAAAAATTCAGAATTCTCTTTTACCACAGAGTACAATGTAGAGAGATATTAGTAAACTTTATGTATTATTGGAGGTGAACATTCAGGAATAATGACTGTAAGAACATGAGAGGGATATATAAATCAAATGGTGAACGTATAATAATAAAGGTATTTGTCAATGACAGGTTAAACAAAAATAAATTTACACATAAATCCAATAATTCCCCCTAAATCTTTCACATAGTTGAAGAATTTGTTGAAGTATAACTAAAATATTTCTCAGAGGACATTCAAGCATTATTAGAACAATTCCAAGGATATATTTGAAAAGCAGAATTATTCTTACGGTTTAAAAGACAAGAAGAAAAAATAAAATTTAGATCAAATAAAAGTTAAAGCCAAAGCTCCATTCTTTTGTAAAGCATAGGACATGCATAGATGGAAGAACTGAATTCGGCACATTAACATTGCAAAACAACGGAATTAACGTTGTAAATACTTACTTGCCCAGTGTACATTATACTGAGGTTTTGGTATGATAGTTATGAATATGAGAGACCATTCTGGGTTATGATGTTACGGTAAAAACATAAATACCTTACAAGTGTGGAGGGTTTTCATTACTGCCTCCCTGGAATTCAGTGACTCCAGAGGTGGGTGCATTTATCATCATTGCCACAGACGCTGAACAATTCGACAGCATGTGCGTGGTCGAGGAGGGGCTGGTACCCCCATACTCCTATTTCACTTTTATTCTACTGCAGTCTATGACAGAGGCAGGTTAGCAAACCAGTTTGCAAGGGTTAATCTTGTCATCATACCAGGCCATTTTGAAAAGTTCAGGGGAAAATGGAATTAGAGGATACATTAGTTTTGGTGCAAAAAAAATATCTGAAATTCTATATGCAAGAGCTCTGCAAAAAGTTAATGGAAGCTATGTAATCTGCAAAAAATCACACAAGGATTTCAATGTTCTTTTTTTGCACCAATAAAAAACATCTTTTCATTCTATTTTTCCATGAACCTTCTGAAGTACTCTCACAATCAAAAGCCAGAAGTGGGGACAGTGTTTATTTTCTCTGTTAGAGCTGTCAGATAATGATCCCCTCAAGGGAAATAAATTGAAGGCTTAAAAAGCTTAAGACAGTTTACAAAGTAAATATTAAACAATTTAAGTGACTACTATGATAATAACTTGGAATATTAGAGATCTGAGTAGAAAAAAAAAACTAAAACCAAATCTGACTAGTAAACAATTGTATACTTTTCTTTCTCCAAAAATATGAATTTTGTTGTATCTTGTGAGCATTTATAAAATTTTTATTAATGCTTACTGTAAATAAAATTGTTATATGTGAACATTTCAGTATTTCAATATTGAATATTAAATATTCAATACATATGCATTTATTTTGAGCTATATAGTCTATAAATTATTCCTTCTATATATTTTTCAGCATGTAATTAAGTGATAAGTAAAAGCCATCATTTACATTTATTTTATAGCAACCAGTTCCAGATTTACAGATAAATTCCTTATTTGAACTTATTTTGAGTTCTTTTGAGTTTCCAAATCATTTTCAAGGATCATCAATTATTTCCCCAAACAAAAGAAAGTGGGAGCTGATTAGAAGTACTTGGATTGAAATACAATTTACATAATCCTAACTAAAATTATTTCTGTGTTCTACTTTACAAAAATAAGAAAAAGTTTTCAAAAAGTATTAGGAGTACTGTTTTTAAAAGTCTTCAAGAAAAGCTATATCTGTATTTTTACTGTCCACTTAAGAACACCTTATCAGAGTCTTGCTTATGCTCTTCAGGAGAGGAACATTATTCCTTTCTTGATTTGAAGACTCTTCAACATAGAGAACGCATGCACCCATTTCAAGCTGGTCTGAGATGGAAGAGCAGCTCAGAACCCCCTTTCAGTTTTTGTTGTTCACAGAATAGGACGTTCCCCTCTGCCCAGGGCTACTTAGTACCCACAGAAATACTCAGGAATCTCTCCTCTACCTGTCTACACACATACATTTTCATCTTCCTACATTTCACATGATTCTGAAAACAGTGACTCACACAAAAAAACAGCAAGCAAAATGAGTCATATGGCAGAGGGTCTACTGAACCCAATTCCCATGAGAGTAAAAAACAGGCTTGTAATTAAATTCTTTCTGCATTTTAAATTCCATAGTTCTGACAGTCATCTTCCTGAGCTTTGTGAATTTTTACAGCACTTACCTGCATCAATCACTCTTTCATATTTAAAAGTTAGAACAGATTTTGGTAATTAAAGGCGAATGCCAACAATCATCAAAGCTTTAGTCTCCCTCATGCTGATCATAAAATACCTTTGGTAAACAATTCAGAAAACATCAACATTTACTCAGAAACATGTTTTTCATATAAACAAGATAGGCTGCAAAAGGAAACTTACCACTTGGTAATATTTTAGCTTATGTGCATGACATACATGGAGTTTTGAATAATGTGAATGAAACTATCAACAAACTAGTTAATTGAAAAGCCTCAACTTTGAAGGAAACACAACATAGCATATTTAGGTGTGGTTTTAAAAACCAACTTCAATGATCCTGAATGATAATTTAGATACTTTGATAGGAATAAATTTCCAAGGTTTATAAAATCATTAATTAGTGAAGAAAAAATTTTAAAAAGACAACTTTGGCATTATGAATCCTAAGAGACACTGAAACACTAACCACCCGTAGGCAGCATGGTGCAGGGCTCACAGCAGTGGTACTTAGGACTGTTTCATGAATGGCAGTAAAGTAAGCATTGGATGAATGAAAACACTGAAAACAGGGCTGGTGCTCAACAGCAACACAATGTCCTACGTAAGACAGAACATACTCATTCAGAATCCTGTCAATCCTAACATCATGTGGACACAGTGTGGGTCAGCAAACTGAATACGCCAACGGGAAGGAGATCTTTCTTTTTTGAAACTTAGCAATTTGAAAAGTCTTAAAATAGTAGCAATTACAGTAATCAACAAAGCTGTCTGAAACACTTTGCTTCAGAAAATAAGCCTTTTCTGATTGGTCTTATTACTAAGGAATCAACTAGAACAAGTAGATCCCATCCATCTGCAGAGTGAGCACATGCCAGATGCCAGTATCAGCAGCTAGGAAGCAGGAAGGACAGGGGGCTGCTGTGGGGCTGCTGCTCCCCACCGTGGAGAGAAGTGTGAGAAGCCACAGGTGCACTGACAAGCAGGAGAGACAGCAAAGACCTGAGGCATGGCAGGTCCTGGAAGAGTTCATTCTATAATGGGAATATGGACAATTTTTCTATTTAAGCTGATTAAAAGAAATGATGCTACCCTCTCAGAATGATTGTGTTTAACATTTTCAACTGATTTTCAGTAATTAATTAAATGTAGTTCTAGAACGATCTTCTGAAAATTTACCATTTAAACTAGCCTTACTGGGGCCTGGCGTGGTAGTGTAGTGGTTAAAGTCCTTGCCTTGAACGCGCCAGGATCCCATACAGGTGCTGGTTCTAATCCTGGAGGCCCCGCTTCCCATCCAACTCCCTGCTTGTGGCCTGGGAAAGCAGTCAAGGATGGCTCAAAGCCTTGGGAACCTACACCAGCATGGGAGATCCGGAAGAGACTCCTGGCCCCTGGCTTTGGATTGGCTCTGAGCCAGCCATTGCGCCTGCTTGGGAAGTGAACCATCGGACGGAAGAGCTTCCTCTCTGTCTCTCCTCCTCTCTGTATATCCACCTTTCCAATAATAAATCTTTAAAAAACCCAAAACACAAAAAACAAACAAAAAAAAACTAGCTTTACTGAACTTTAGAAATGTCTTATATTTAATAAAATATTTTTAAAAATAGTCAAAGAAAAGATTAGATTTTAGTTTTAAGACCCAACATGTGAGGGTGGGCATTTACTGCAGTTTGGGGTATCCCTATCCCAGACAGGAGTGCCCGAGTTGAGTCCTGTGTCTTCCTTCACTTCATGCAGTGTCCTGCTAATGAGTACCCTGGGAGGTAGCAAGTGATAGTTCAAGTACTTGGGTCCTTGCCACCCATGTGGGAGGCCTGGCTGGAGTTCCAGGCCTCTGGCTTTGTCCTGGCCCAGACCTGGCTGTTGCTAAGATTTGAGAAGTGAATCAGTGGATGGAAGATCCTTGTCTGTCAGTCTCTTAAAATAATAGAACAGAATAGAACAGAATAAAAAAGAGAATAAGAAAAAGTCAAGGAATTTCAAAGTAGAACCAAGAAATTCCATTACTTCTGTCATCTCTATCACTACGAATGTTGCTTCAGCCTATACATTTTTCATGAGTACTTAGAATGCACAGATAACTTGATGAGATGGAATATTCATATAGATTTTTTCCAATTCAGAAATATTTTTTCGTTGGTTGCTTATTTTATGTAACAAAATATTAAGTTGAGGGGTTT